TGTTTGTGGTCCAAACAGTGGAGGTATTAGGTTCCAGTAGGAAGATGGTCACAGAGCCGTCTGCTGTGTTTCCGCTCAGCCAGCTGTTCCTGTCTGTAGTTGGATCCGGTCTCCAAACGCTCTACCTGCCGTTTTTCACACAGAACAATAAGAGAGAACTCAGTAAGGTGTTACACGTCCCAGCATGAAGGTCCCAGGGTTTGGATTTGTCTTATTTCCCCAAGGTGAATAATCAATACAACATGAATCCCTGGATTCATGAAGGACTGACAGTTCTTTAGCAGGAAAACCGCTTTGTAGGAACTCTAAAATCGTTTCTTTTTTCTCTCGTTTGAAACCTCTGCACAGATTTCAAAGTTACATTTGCTTTTAGAAATGTTTGCTGCAAACCCACAGTGTGCTTTTAAAACAGGGTTCATTTAGCTGCAGACATGAAGAAAATGAATAGAAACAACAGGATTGTCCTGATTGGGATTTTAAAAAATGCAAAGCTGATCTGATCTTTCATGGCGGTTAAAACAAAGAGTCGGAGTACCCGGCCCGGAGGGTTACCGGGGTCCCACCCTGGAGCCAGGCCTGGGGTTGGGGCCCGTGAGCGAGCGCCTGGTGGCCGGGCTTTCGCCCATGGGGCCCGGCCGGGCCCAGCCCGAACCGGATACATGGGCTCGTCCAACTGTGGACCCACCACCCGCAGGAGGAACATGAAGGGTCCGGTGCAATGCGAATCGGGTGGCAGACCAAGGCGGGAGCCTTGGCGGTCCAATCCCCGGACAAGAAAACTAGTTTTTGGGACATGGAACGTCACCTCGCTGGCGGGGAAGGAGCCGGAGCTTGTGGCAGGGGTTGAGCGGTACCGGCTAGATATAGTCGGACTCACCTCGACACATTGCATTGGCTCTGGAACCCGAGACCTGGAGAGGGGTTGGACACTCTACTTTGCTGGAGTTGCTCCGGGTGAGAGGCGGAGGGCTGGGGTTGGCTTTTTGTTAGCCCCGAGACTCTCTGCCTGTGTGTTGGGGTTTACCCCGGGGGACAAGAGGGTAGCTTCCTTGCGCCTTCGGGTCGGGGAATGGGTCCTGACTGTTGTTTGTGCTTATGGGCCAAATATCAGTTCAGAGTACCCACCCTTTTTGGAGTCCCTGGGACGAGTGCTAGATAGTGCTCCATCAGGGGACTCCATTGTCCTGCTGGGGGACTTCAATGCTCACGTGGGCAATGACAGCTTGACCTGGAGGAGTGTGATTGGGAGGAACGGCCCACCTAATCTGAACTCGAGCGGTGTTTTGTTATTGGACTTCTGTGCAAGCCGCAGTTTGGCCATAACGAACACCATGTTCGAACATAAGGATGCCCACCGGTACACTTGGTACCAGGGCAGCCTAGGTCACAGGTCGATGATAGATTTTGTAGTCGTATCATCTGACCTGCGGCCGTATGTTTTGGACACCCGAGTGAAGAGAGGGGCGGAGCTGTCAACTGATCACCACCTGGTGGTGAGTTGGATCAGATGGCAAGGGAACATGCCGCGTAGACCTGGCAGACCCAAACGCATAGTGAGGGTCTGCTGGGAACGCCTGGCAGAAGAACCTGTCAAGACGGTCTTCAACTCCCACCTCCGGCAGAGCTTTGACCACGTCCCGAGAGCAGTGGGGGACATTGAGTCCGAGTGGGCCTTGTTCCACTCTGCGATTGTCGAGGCGGCTGTTGCTAGCTGTGGTCGTAAGGTGGCCGGTGCCAGTCGTGGTGGCAACCCCCGTACCCGCTGGTGGACACCAGAGGTTCGGGGAGCCGTCAGGCTGAAGAAGGAGGCCTACAGGGCGTGGCTGGTCTGTGGGTCTCCGGAGGCAGCAGACAGGTACCGGATAGCCAAGCGGGGTGCAGCAGTGGCAGTTGCCGAGGCAAAATCTCGGGCATGGGAGGAGTTTGGTGAGGCCTTGGAGAAAGACTATCGATCGGCTCCAAAGAGGTTCTGGCAAACTGTCCGGCGCCTCAGGAGAGGAAGGCAGCAACTCGCTCACACTGTTTACAGTGGGGATGGGGAGCTGCTGACGTCAACTGAGGCTATAGTCGGACGGTGGAAGGAATACTTTGAGGAGCTCCTCAATCCCACCAATGCGCATTCCGAGGAGGAACCAGAGCTGGGAGGCCTGGGGATGGACTGTCCGATCTCGGGGGCAGAAGTTGCTGAGGTAGTCAAACAACTACACAGCGGCGGAGCCCCGGGGGCGGATGAGGTTCATCCTGGGTATCTCAAGGCTATGGATGTTGTAGGGCTGTCATGGTTGACACGTCTCTACAACATTGCGTGGTCATCGGGGGCAGTTCCTAGGGAGTGGCAGACCGGGGTGGTGGTCCCCATCTTTAAGAAGGGTGACCTGAGGGTGTGTTCCAACTATAGGGGGATCACACTCCTCAGCCTCCCTGGAAAGGTCTATGCCAAGGTACTGGAGAGGAGGGTCCGATCGATAGTTGAATCTCAGATAGAGGAGGAGCAATGTGGTTTTCGTCCTGGCCGTGGAACTGTGGACCAGCTCTATACCCTTGCAAGGGTGATGGAGGGGGCATGGGAGTTTGCCCAACCAATCCACATGTGTTTTGTGGATTTGGAGAAGGCTTATGACCGTGTCCCCAGGGGCACCCTGTGGGGGACGCTCCAGGAGTATGGGGTGGGTGGCTTTCTGTTAAGGGCCATTCAGTCCCTTTACCAGAGGAGCGTGAGTTTGGTCCGCATAGCCGGTAGTAAGTCGGACCTGTTCCCAGTGAGGGTTGGACTCCGCCAGGGCTGCCCTTTGTCACCGGTTCTGTTCATCACTTTTATGGACAGAATTTCTAGACGCAGCCGTGGTGTGGAGTGTGTCGAGTTTGGTGGCAGGAGAATCTCGTCTCTGCTTTTTGCGGATGATGTGGTCCTCCTAGCTTCATCCAGCTCTGACCTTCAGCTCTTGCTGGGTAGGTTCGCGGCCGAATGTGAAGCGGCTGGGATGAGGATCAGCACCTCCAAATCTGAGACCATGGTTCTCGACCGGAAAAGGGTGGCTTGCCACCTCCAGGTCGGGGGAGAGGTCCTACCTCAAGTGGAGGAGTTTAAGTATCTCGGGGTCTTGTTCACGAGTGAGGGTAGGAGGGATCGGGAGATCGACAGGCGGATTGGTTCGGCGTCTGCAGTGATGCGGACGCTGAGCCGATCTGTCGTGGGGAAGAGGGAGCTGAGCCAGAAAGCCAGGCTCTCGATTTACCGGTCGATCTACGTCCCAATCCTCACCTATGGTCATGAGCTTTGGGTAATGACCGAAAGAACGAGATCGCGGATACAAGCGGCCGAAATGAGTTTCCTCCGTAGGGTGGCCGGGCTCAGCCTTAGAGATAGGGTGAGGAGCTCGGACATTCGGGAGGGACTCGGAGTAGAATCGCTGCTCCTCCGGATCGAAAGGAGCCAGTTGAGGTGGTTTGGGCATCTGGTCAGGATGCCTCCTGGACGGCTCCCCGGGGAGGTGTTTCGGGCATGTCCTGCCGGCAGAAGGCCCCCGGGTCGACCCAGGACACGTTGGAGAGGTTACATCTCCAATCTGGTCCGGGAACGCCTTGGGGTCCTGCCGGAGGAGCTGGTGGACAAGGCCGGGGAGAGGACGGCCTGGAGATCCCTAATTGGGATGCTGCCCCCGCAACCCGGACCCGGATAAGCGGAGGAAGACGAAGACGAAGACGAAGCAAAGCTGATCTGGGTGTCTTCAAAAGGAATCAAACAAGATGACAACATTTTTATTCCTGCTTTCTTATAATGATGGCTTTTATTATATATTTGTTTATTTATTAAAGGTGCATGTGTCATCTTTGGAGAATTAGGTGTGATAATAAAAAGAATGAATCCTAATCTTAAAAAAATACGAAAACGTGGCCTCTTATATTTAGTGATTGTAGTTCCTTCTTCTTCTTCTCGATTATGTAGAAGAAACTGGCTTGGCTCACCATTAATGTAGCGTTGTGGTTTTATGCTCTTTTATGAAAGAGGAACCATGCTACGTATTAATTCGGAATATTAATTTTTAATAAATCAATAACCAAATTTTATATTGTTAAGAAGACTCAAAGGTTGTTTTCATCGATAAACTGACGATAATATCTGTGTGTCTGTGTTTCAGTTCAATGAGGAAACCAGTTTGACAATTAAAAGTTTTAATTCTTCAAATTAAACTAATGATTTTGAAAATTGACAAACAGGAAATAACAATCAACATTGGCAACTTTGTGGGACAATCTTTAACAGTTGATATGCTGTTCTTGTTCTTACAATTATTTATTAGTTTTTGGTGACAAATGAAGAAATCAAATCATCGACCTTGGCAAAAGTGATTTATTTTCATGTAACACAGCCGTTAATGACCTTTTAAAGTCTCCTGATGATCACCGCCTCACAAATGGCCTCAGTTGGACACACTTGTTGCCTAAGTTTATTTTAAGCACGCTTTTTTGTTGAAGCCTATATCAAACATGGATCTCAAAAAAGCTATTTATCTCAATTCAAATGATTTTACTTGAACAGAATGGTTTCCTATTGAAACACAGCCTTCTTTACTGTAAATAACAGATGGTCTGCTGAGATTAGACCACTGACCTGCTCATGCTTCTGCTGCACGCGCGCTGATTCTGCTGATGCATCACAACAAACCAAACTACGGCATGTTTCCTTAACATTAACGGTTAGTCTGACTAAGTTTCACACAGCATGAAAGTTCTGCGTTAAAGGAAAACATCAGAAACTAGGTTGAAGTAAAACAGGAAAATCTTTGAGGAGACTTGAAAGCAAAAGGATCTGCATCTTTTCTGTCTCTGAACGCAGCACTTCAAATCTCACATGAAAGTTGTGTTTAATCATTAAACATGGACGTCCTGTTTTCTTCATTGTAAGTATAAAAACAGTGTTGTCTGTGTGGGAACCCAGTAGCCTGAGGTCAGATTAACTTTAAAAAGGCCACTTGGCCACGCCTGAGCCAGGTAGGTGTTAAATCCTAAAACAGATCAGAGTCTGAGGATATAAAAACCAGCTCAAACAGAGTCTGTCACATGCACACTGAACGCCTGTTTGACTGTTTGTAGGAGCAGTCAGTCCGCTCTAGAAGAAAATTACACATCTATTTATTAATCAGTTCCTCTGATCTGCAGCCATGGTTCTGGAGGAGACTGACAACGACTCTGTCTTAGAGCCTCAGGTCACTGTGAGTATAACATAGACTTTAGCTACCTTTTGCACCAGATCTGCTGTTATTGGTTGTTATTGTGAGTCAGCTGATGTTTGTGATATTGTCAGCGTGAATCAGGATTATTAGAAATAGACAAACGTACAATTTCACAAACGTTTGCAGGTTGCAAATTCAACACTGTTTATGCATTTGCCTCAGCTCACACAAGCTCTTGCAGCTGCAGGAAGAATATTGCAGCAGAGGTCAAAGGGCGCTCCAGTCATAAATGAAAACATGTGATTCTGCTTCAGGACGAGTATGTGGAGACTCAGTTTGGGGACGTCCACTGCGTCATGATGGGGACGGTGAAAGCAAACCGTCCCGTTATCCTGACTTTTCCAGATGTCGGCCTGAACCGTGAGTGCTGGCTCTCAGGCCCATTTACGTCCGTTTATCATCATCAAACAAATCGAACGTCTGAGTAAAAACACCAACAGTGAAGTTCTTGTTGCTTTCTCTCTGCATAGACAAATCCTGTTTCGAGACTCTGTTCAACCACGAAGACATGCATGAAATCGTCAGACATTTTGCCGTCTGTCACGTTGAGGCACCAGGACAACAGGAGGGAGCTAAAACTCTGCCTGCCGCGTCAGTAAACCATCTTCCCTCCTCTACTCTTTGTTTTCCACATTTCCTCGTTGTGGTAGTACTTGTACCTGTGTCACATGGACGAATCTTCTGTTTCCTGTTCAATGATAAATTTGACCTTTCACCCCTCAGGTATCCCTATCCTTCCATGGAGCAGCTCTCTGAAGTTCTGCCTGGTGTTCTGAAACACTTTGGGTGAGTCAGATCTTTGCCTCTGCAGGCTCCTCTGAGTCTCTGACATCAAACACTTCATATTGGACTCTCCGAGTTCTTTTGGGGAAACAACTGCGCGTTTTTCAGGTTGCGCAGTGTGATCGGTCTGGGAGTCGGAGCTGGAGCGTACATCCTTGCTAGATTTGCTGTGAGTTTACATTCCCCCCCCCCCCCCCCCCCCCCCCCCCCCACACACACACACACACACACACATTCATTTAAAACCATCAATCGTTTTTATAACATGACAGGAAAAGACTTCCGGGTGTAAAAACCTACTAATAACAAAACTTTGCGTTTACAGTTGAACTACCCTGACTTGGTGGACGGGGTGGTTCTGATCAACATTAACCCTAATTCTGAAAGCCTGATGGATACTGTCACTAGTAAGGTATGTAGAGCACGTATGTAGGTCACCTATATAGGGGTTATGCTCATGACGTTAGCAGAAGATTTTCTCAGACTTGCCACACCCCCCAGCCTCCTTTAACACCTTTGACCTCGTGGATCTCAGACAAACACTAAGTTGCTCAGCCTTGTGATGGCATTGTTGTGTGTTTTCTGCTCATTAATCTAAAGATAAACAGAAAGTAGTTTCTTTTAAACGTGTTGTCCAGCATTTGCACTCACATCACGGGCTTCACAGGGGCGTGTACAAAAGTTTCACACGTGCCTTTTTTACATTAACAAACAGAAATGGTTTGAAGGAGAATAGCAGTAACTGTCAACTGGTGGCCCACGGGACACACCCGCCCCCCATTATGCCTGAATCAGGAATAGAAAAAAATGGATGTTCTCCCTTTTTTTATATCAAATTAATCAAACAAAAAACGTCCTTTAATCATAAATGACTACGAACTCAGGTCTCCTTCAATATTTTTTATTTCACCTGCAGCAGCTCTTAGAAACTCCGTTTTTGCCCTCTCCACTAAAAAAGTGCATAATTGCATACATGTATTTGTTTATTTAACCTTTTTTATCCAGGTAAAATGTTTGAGAACCACTTCTCATTTACAAACATGACCTGGCGACACAAGCAAGTAAATGTTCACGGGAAGAAAGCAACACATGTACAAATAAACAATATTTGCCAGGTTGGCAGAGAGAACCACTCGGCAGGACAAAGCATTGGATTAATCACTTTTGGCAAATATCATGCTTAAAATACACCAAAGCGAGAGGGCAGAACTGCTTCACAAATAGGAAGTCTAATATGCCGCGGTTGCCTCCTAGTGGCTTGGGTTACTAAAGGAAATTTGAACATAAACACTGACAAATGCTTAAAAAACAGGAAATTTGAAAGGGAAATTAATATATCAAATATTAATATATTAATATACAATAATAATTTTAATTTATTTTAGAAGAGCATCTGGCCCTCACTGTGTCTGCTGAAAAACACTCTGGCCCTTGAACAAATCTAGTTGAAGACCCCTGTTATAAAGTTAAAGACAAATTATGGTTGCCTTGGCCACCTTCTGGCCCCGCCCCTGCATACAAATCCTGATTTGAGCCCTACCTGATATCCATGGGTTTCATTTTCCTGACTAAAGAATGAGATCCGTAAAGGATCAGGAATCAGGAATAGAGTTTAGTGTCCATAATCCTAATAAATAATTTATTAGATGATATCCGTCCATCCACTGTCAGCCGCTGATCTGGAGTTGGATCGTGGGGGAGGAGGCCTAAGCAGAGAGGCCCAGACTTCCCTCTCCCCAGCAAACTGGGTCAGCTCCTCTGGGGGAATCCCAAGGCGTTTCCCGGCCAGCCGAGAGACATAGTCCCTCCAGCGTGTCCTGGGTCTTCCCTTGGGTCTTCTCCCAGTTGGACGTGCCCGGAAAACCTCACCAGGGAGGTGTCCTAACTAGATGGAAACTGGAAACTGGAAATTATTAAAATGAATCTGGTCAGTTTGTCTCTCAACGTGATTGACAAAATTTTTTCAACGATGAGAACGGGAGAAGGGGCTCCCGGTTGCCCCTCTGGGACAGAGCCAGCTGGGCATATCATGGACTCCTGGAAACAGTGGAACCTGATCTGCCTCTCAGCTGTCTGTAGAGGATTCTGAAGACGTCTGGATATTCGTGGTGTTGGTGTCAGGTTTCCTGCTTTTCGGCCTGAGTTGTTACCTGGCTTACCGGAAAATTAATGAGCTTTTGAGGAATATTGGCTCAATCCCGGAGTTCAGGGATGGATTATACCGCGCTGTGAACGCACAAACTCATATAATTGTTGACATGAGTCGTAAACTTGGAACTTTGGCTGAGATTCAGACTCTGGCACAGAAGGTTGATGCATCAAGGATAAAGTTGACGGATCAGCACTGATTGGGAATAGATTAATCTACGCCATTATTGGATTCAGAGGGGTTGTAGATCAACAGAACTTTAAGACAGAGAGGAAATTATTTCTGTCTGGCACCAAAACAAGTTCTTATCTGAATCTGGTGCTCTTGAGCCTGTGAGGCTGAAGTGAATACTCCCCCTCAGAAGAAATGTAGAATGCTGCTGTCGCCATGGTAACTCTGTCTCCCTATCCCAGCCTGGGTGGGACTGCGACCGTTGAAGGCCATGGAATCGTTTCCAGGAGTCACTGTGCTCTCTAACCCAAACTTCCTCCCTCCCCTGTCCAAACGGAGGTGACGAGCACTGCTCACTGCAGCTGCATGCACTGATGTGAGGAGAGTCCCCAACTCTACCTCCCCACCTAGTGGACACTTATGTTGTGTGATGTCTGAAGTCTGTTGCATTTCTGTCTGAGGAGTTTTTTGCATAGCAAAGCTGCCCTCTCTGTGGTGGGTAACTCTGAAGTGACTTTTTTTTCCTCCACCTGACCCAATCCTCATGTAAACCCTCTGATCTCTATTAAGGTAGCACGACTCGGGTTGCGAATGACCACAGTCACCAATTCTTGTCATGTGTCTGTGTCTATGTATGTCTGATCTCAGAATTGTGTGTACTGAAACTCTAATTTCTCTCTGGGATTAATAAATTATCTTTCAATTGAATTTGAACTGAATGGCCGAGCCACCTCAACTGGCTCCTCTCGGTGTGGAGGAGCAGCGGGTCTACTCCGAGCCCCTCCCGGATGACCAAACTTCTCACCCTATCTCTAAGGGAGAGCCCAGCCACCCTGCGGAGAAAACTCATTTTGGCCGCTTGTATCCGTGATCTCGTTCTTTCGGTCACTACCCAAACTCGTGACCATAGGTGAAGGTAGGAACGTAGATCAGCCAGTAAATGGAGAGCATTGCCTTCTGGCTCAGCTTTCTCTTTCACCACGACAGATCGGTACAAAGCCCGCATCACTGCAGACACAGCACCAATCGTTCTCATGCTCCATCTTACCCTCACTCATGAACAAGACCCCGAAATAACTCCTCCACTTGAGGCAGGACCTCATCCCTGCTGGAGAAGGCATTCTACCCTTTTCCTTTTCAAGACCGTGGCCTCAGATTTAGAAGAGCTGACTCTCATCCCAGCTGCTACACGCTCGGCTGCGAGTCCTCCAGCGAAAGCTGGAGATCACTGTCTCATGAAGCTAAGAGGATCACATCATCTCCAACAAGCAAAAACCGATCCCTAGGCCACCAAAACAGACCCGCTCAGCACCTTGGACACTCTCTGTCCTGCAATCAAGGATTGCAGCCATTTGCTCAAGATCTGGGTTACAGGGTGCATTGAGCAGATATGGGGGTGAGAGGGCAATATGGGGGCCACTAAGGGTCATGTGGGAATAATATCATCTGGGTGTGTAACTTGTATGACAGTGTGACACCTGTTCATGCAGCCATGTGGGATTGTCACATGTAAAGGTTTTACATTTACTGCACTCTAGAGGAGTTTTGCATATTTTAACGTTAAAAACACATTTTTTGCAGTTTGCTCTGATTGAACTTCTGAATAGCTAAAAGTAGAAGCTACATTATTGTTATGCTCTGAGCGTTAAAGCTACATGGTCATTTGCATTTATGCAAAAGACGTAAAACTGCCTTCAACATGTTTGAACGGTTTAGCTCAGATTAAAACACAACAAAGTCCCAAATTACTTTTAATAAAGAAAGTTCATGTTTGTTGGAATTATGGGCTACTTTTTCAGACGTTTCTCATTTTCTTTTCCTCTAAGTTATCATTTTACAACCAACGTTGTTAAAACAACTTTGTCTTACAGATAACTGACTGGACCTACACTCTCCCAGACAAAATCCTTGCAAACCTGCTGGGAAAGGTAAAACAAATCAAGAGTAATTTTGCTTTTCCCTGAAGCAGAACGTGACACACTCAGAAGCTCAGTGTGTATCACAAACAGGAGGAGCTCCAGACTAACCAGGACCTTGTAGCTACGTATCGTCACTACATCACTGCAACCATGAACGAGGCCAACGTGAGTCAGTTCTTGCGCTCCTACAGCAACCGCAGTGCTCTGGAGGTGGAGAGGCCCGTTCCTGAAGGGAACATCAACGTCAGGACTCTCAAGTCAGTAAAAGTGTAAACTTTACGGATGATCTCTTGTAAAATCCCACTTATTCAGCCTTCTGAACCACATGTGTTGGTTTACGCCACAGGTGCTCGTCACTCTTGGTTGTTGGTGATAACTCTCCAGCTGTGGAAGCTGTGGTTGACTGCAACTCAAAGCTCAATCCCACAAAAACCACACTGCTTAAGGTAACCAAACCACGGCCTGTTCAAAACAATTACATGCATCAAATGTGATAAACGAAATCTTGGGGTTGTCATATTTTAAATGTGTTTACATTTCTTTCTATTCTTTTGCTTTTTGGTTCAGATGGCAGACTGTGGAGGGCTTCCTCAGGTGGATCAGGTCTGATTTAGCTTCTCAGACTTTTATTGTTGCTTTTAGCTGTTCATAATTAGTTTTAATGTGTTTTATGTTGCTCTCCACAGCCAGCCAAAGTGATCGAAGCCCTCAAGTATTTCATCCAAGGCCTGGGATATTGTAAGTTTTAATTATTGTGACTCCCATCAACTCTTTTTCTTGTTTGCCATGAAGATGAGATCACTCGCCATGTAAATCACATAGTGAGGGATCAGAAATCCTCATGTGCCTCTTCCTCCTCAGTGTCCAGTGCCAGTATGACCAGGCTCCGCTCCCGAACAGCCTCCGGTTCCAGCACTGCGTCGTTCGATGGCCCTCGGAGCCGTGCACACACCGACGAGCTGCAGCGTGGCCGGATACACTCGCACGGTGCTGAGGAGAAGCGTGGGCGTGCACGCACTGACATCTCCATGGAGAGTGTTTCCACCGTGAACCAGAGCGTCTCAAAGTCCACTGAGGTGGCCTGTTAGAGCGCAGACAGCTCTCAGACTGATGCACTAAACTCAAACAATACCTCATTAAATCTCCTCACCTCTGTCATGCACTCGTTATGTCCTTTTCAACCCATCTTTTAACGCTTCAGTCACATTCTTTTTATCATATCTGCCACATGTGGAATTCGGTCATCCTTTCATCATTATTTTGGTTTCTTCTAATTTTCATCTTTGATCCTCTCTTTCTTTGAACTTTAAAGCCTCAGATGTAGGCTTTATCATTCTTTTAGGTATAAACTCACATAAAGCTGTAATAGTTGTTTACATTTAGTGTCACGCGTAGAGTAAAACCACAGGAATGTGATTGTTGTACAGACATGACAGTGTGGGATAGCCTCTTCGTTTCAGATGCAGCTGTTACTTCTTCCAAAAAGCACTTTAACTATCTTTTGTATTAAGAATACTTTTCATGATCTTCTCTTCATGACAGCTGTAAGATCCATTAAAGAAATAAAACTCTGTTGCTCTCA